TAGCAGGTGTACATGGTGGCTTGAGACTCTGTTCGGGTTCTCCATTTACTCTTTAATATTTGTGCATGGATTTTATATTTTAATAAACAATAAAAGAATATTTAAAACTCCTATCTTAACACATCATTTATGTTTCTATTTTACTTCTATTATCAGTTTTTCTGGTGATTTAAATATTCAATTCAAACCAATTTAAGACTCTAAACAAACAAAACCAAAATACTTTCATCATCATGTGTTTTGTAACAGATCATTCTCAATTCTTCACTTCTGACCCTTGTAAAAGTCAATCATTTCATGTACATAGATTTCATTATAATGGATACTTTTTTGATATTATTACTTTTAAGTAGATATTTTTTAGAAAAATAATGAAGAAATATTTCTTTCTTCTGTGATACTCTTCCTGTATTTATACAACCTGGAGTTTCTGACCTTAAGCACTATTTTGATTACTGTAGATTTCTTACACATATCTTGTTAGGTAGCTGTACTATACTAGTGGCAAGGTTCTTATTGCCCCCTATTATTTCTTCTGAAATTTAATTTTTTTCAGATCATTTAGTGACTTTGAAACATTTACCTTCACTGATAATTTAAGTCATGCCTTGCTGTGGAAATTATTACTGTACACTGTAAATATTTATTACTCTTATTGGTAAATTAAGAAGCTATGAAGTTACAAGGGACACTAAGAATAAAAGAATGAAAAAGGGAAGAGTGAGAGAAAATGACAGCCAGTCACCAAGGAAGCAGATAATGTAGAAAATGAGGTACTAAGACACAAGCCTTGTGGCAGAGCATAGAAAAAAAATATATGGGTTAACTGAAGTGTTAAAGTTAGCTAGTAACAAGCTTGAACTCTCATCCAAGTACTGTGCATCAGCTTTGTGGGAGTAGATGGTTGGAACAGGAAGACTCTGTGTAAATTAATTACCAATAATTATTTCTACTTCATAGAACTAATGCTTTACAGTGCCACCATGAATTATGAAAAGAAAACTTGTGTTGTTTCAAATTTTTCCATTTTCTAAAGAAAATTGTTATAGATATTTACTTTTAAAATAATATTTATTATTTGAAATATTCATACATATATACAATATATCTTGATCCTATTTAACCCTTAACACCTAGTTTTCCATAAGACCCCTTATCATATCTCTCTTCCAATATAATGCCTTTTTGTTTAATTTTAACATTTACATGTAGGGCTGAAAAAGGTGACTCAGTGGTTAAGAACACTGGCTGCTCTTCCAGAGGACCTACATTTGATTTCCTTCACCCATATTTTGTTTCACACTCCAATCCAGTGTTCTCTTCCTTCTTCTTCCACTGGCACCAGTACATATGTGATACACAGACACACATGCTGAGAAAACACCCATACACATGAAATAAACTATTTTGATGTATGTGTATGACTATGGGTCCATCTACTGTTAAATAGGTTACATCCTTCCACTATTACATCCCCAAAGAAAATTGTTCCTTCTTGACCAAACTCAATTCCAAATTGAACATATACGCCAACGTAAAACTTGAGACCTGAAACGACTAGAGAAAAGGAGTAGGGATAAATTTTAACTTATAGACACAGGTAACAATTTTCCAAGTAGAGCTCCAATTAGCTTGAGGTTGAAAAGACCAACAGCTGACAAATGGAATCTCATAAAACTAAAAGGCTTCTATATAGCAAATAAAACTGTCAAATGAAGCAACAACTCATAAAATTGAATTGGAGAAAATGTACAGTAGTTAGACATATGGTGGGGAGTTGGTGTGTAGAATATAGAAATAAAAAAACAGCAAAACAAAAGAAGCAACCTTGCTGTTGGATAATGATTTTGCACACTGTAAAGATTTGTCACTCATATTGGTTTATTAAAGCACTGATTGGTCAAGACCCAGACAGCAGGACTACAATACTAGGAGAATTTTGGAAAGAAGAAAGTTACAAGCCAGAAGCAAAGGAAGCATGATTAGAATGTCTCACTGAGAAAAGGTACCAAGCCACATGGCTAAATGTAGATAAGATGTATGGGTTAATTTAAATTTAAGACTTAGTTACTAATAATTCTGAGCTAATAGACAAAATAGTTTATAATTAATATAAGTCTCTGTGTCTTTCTCTGAACAGCTGTGGGACAGGTCAGGGCATAAACTTCTGTTTACAAATAGTGCCCAAACATTTGTCAAGAATTTCAACGTAAATTCTGAGAAAAAGTTTTAAAAAGCAATTCTAGACAGACAAGAACAGAGTCAAGCACAGCTTCTTATTAACTATATTTTCTCCAGTAAGCTCTATTTTTAGAGGTATGGTTCCTTTAATAAAGGCTTTCTGACTTACTGTTATTGGCAAAAACATTGCTGCATTTTTAAGAGGCCCTACCATCAAACACTTAAATAGTGTGTATGAGCAACTAACAGCATGCTTCTTGGTGGTGACAAGGACCTTAGAACTCCACAGAGTTGTGGCAATAAACATGTCTCCTGCTACTACCTCCACCTTGTAGCTAGACTCCCAAAAAGCTAAGGATAATGGTAGATCCAGCCACCAAAGCCACAGCTTTAATCCTAGCCATGCCCCTTAGCAGATTGAAGACTCATGTGATCACAAAAAAAAAAACAGAGAAATAAGAGAAATACAGATTCAAAGAGGAACAAACCTCTTATTTCAAAATATACGTAAGCTTTGGAGAGAAAAGAAAAAGGATAGAGAAAGTCTCTCACAAACAGTGGCTGGGTATGGTGACACATGTCTTTAATCCCAGCACTTGAAAGGCAGAGGCATGTAGATCTCTGTGATATCAAGGCCAGCCTTATTTACAAAGTAAGTTCTGGAACAGCCAAAGATATACAGAGAAATTATGTCTCAAAAAAAAAACAAAAATGAAAAAATAAAAATTAAAGAAATAGAGTAAACAAAAGCCACATAAAAATAGATAATACATAGAGAGTCTGAATACTGCATGTTATTGTGTTGTCTTTAAATTTTTCAAATGCTGAGGAAGAAGCAACAGCTGCTAAAACATTTTATAAATGCTGATGGATTAATCCAACTTATGCATTTTGAAAATGCCTTGACTTTAAAATTTAAGTCAAAAAATATACTGCTTTGTAGAAGAGGTATTGCTTTTGTTTCCACAAGGAATGAGAGGCTGTAGATTTATTCCAGGTTAAGAAAAATTAGATTTGATGAAGGAAGACCTCCTGAAAAACCTCCAAGGACAACAGATGCCCCAGATGAGCTAATATTTTAGAGTACCTATGTTGCAGTTTCTTCTGAGTTCTGCATCTAGAATAGTTTCAATGCTGCTGGTTAAGATATCCAGCCTCACAAAATACTCCAGTCAGGAATTGACCATAATCCTAATTTTTCTTTGGATTCCCATAAGATTACTAGCACTCCCAATCAGCAGAAAGTAGCCTAGAAAACTATACCTACAAATCCCCAGAAATGGATTTTGGATGTTTGTCTCTGTTTAGTATGTTGGTTTCAAGTTGTTATGGATAATGTTCAGGAAAAGAGCTAAACAAAGGAGAGTAGATTCAGGGTCTTGTTTTGAAAATAAAAACAAGGGGGGAAATTCTGTGGGATGATGTTTTTGTACACTGTAAAGTTTTGTCATTCATATTGGTTTATTAAAACACTTATTGATTAGAAGCTAGATAAAAAATACAGATAGGACAACTAGACTAAGAGAATTCTGGAAAGAGAAAGAGCAGAGAGTCAGTCATCAGCCAGATGCAGAGGAAGTAAAATGAGAATGCCTTACAGAGAAAAGTTCACATCGCTAATAATAGATAAGAATTATGGAATAATTTAAGTTGTAAGTCCTAGTTAATAAGAAGCCTGAACAAATAGGCCAAAGAGTTTATACTTACCATAAACCTTTGTATGTTCCTTTGGGAATGCCCAGCTGCAGGGCCAGGCAGGACAGAAATTTCAGTCTACATGAACTGCCAAAATGAGTTATAAACCTTAATAGAAATTTCTCAAATGAATAAATACAAGTGGTTCGTAAACAGTTTTAAAATTCATAACTTTATTATCTATCATTGAAATTTAGAATAAAGCTACTTTAAGGTTACCTCTTATCCCAGTCAGAAAATGAATAACAAATAACAGTGAATGTTGTCTTTGATGTGGGGAAAATGGAACACTCATATATTGTTAGTTGGAGTGAATAAGCATTTTGGACCTTGTTCTCTGTACATGACAAGATCAATGCCATGAATACAGAAACTGTGATCAACTGCAAAAGACCAGAACAATATTGGTTCTTTTAACACGTAGTCACAGAGGTGAAGAAAGATTTAGGAAGCTCCATGTTCCCCAAGGATATAAGGGCAGTTACCAGTCTTTGAAAGAAGAAGAAACATTAATTTTTTTTCTTACAATATATTTTAATCATATTATTTACTCTTCTCAACTTCTCCCAGATCCCCTGAATGTATCTACCCAACAACTTTATTCTCTCTCTCTCTCTCTCTCTCTCTCTCTCTCTCTCTCTATATATATATATATATATATATATATATATATCTTTTTATTAAAAGAGAAGTCAAAAATAAAAATCAAAACAATCAAACAAAACTAAAGACAAAAGAACCACAGTGAAACCAAATAATAGAAAAAACACACATACACACACAAATGCAATCTGTTTTGATTTTGCTAACTATATCTGTGCATGTAGTCTACTGGCCTGGAGTGGTTTATGTACTCAATGACATGTCACTAGAGAAAACTGATTTTCCCTTTTCCAATAGATAATAACTGCAAATAGCTTCTTGGTTAGGGATGAGAATCTTTTCATGTCTTTTCAGTGTTGAAAGATTTTCTGGTTTGAACATATATAGATCTTGTATATCTTCTCATGGTCACTACCAGTTTATATGTTAATAAGTTTATATTCCTTTTATGTGTTAGGAAAACACTCTTTTCTTGGAGTCATCCATCATCAATGAATTTTTTTTCCCAAGAATAGTGTTTTATATTTTGGTTGAAAGAGTCTTACTATGTAGCCTAGGCTATACTCACACTTGGAAACTAAAAATCTTCCTGTCTTAGCTGCATAGGCCTTGGGTGCTCATTACAACACAAACTTATTTCCAGATTTTTCAAGAGGTGGTTGTTAGGTAACTGTAGAATCCTTAATAAAGACCGTGGCATCTTGATGTTCTTTACATACTGGTACTCTTGGAAACAGGAGGCTCCATCTTTGAGGGGACGTGTGCTTAGGTTTGTAAGAACTCAGACTGTACCCTGGCCACTTTCCAGAATTCTTTAGTGTGGGTCTTAGGGCACTGCATCTCACACCAGCTGATGGGAACCATCTGGACACCTGATTCACTGTGGGCTACCACTACCCCTAACTCATTTTCAGCAGTGGTCAGCAGATAATTGGACTGTGCATCACCTAGGGAGATAACTTTGGTCAAAACTATGTCACCTGGGGGGAAACTCTTGTAAATTTCAACCTTGTCTTTTTCAGTTGCTTGGATATCTTTCTTGCGGATAGTTCCTCGAAAAGCATTTTTTAGTGGTGTGGACCCTACATACAAGATGTGTACTTTGGCAACACGTGAGTTGATGCTAGAGACCTTACAGGTGACAACAGCTCCTACATCTGGAAGTAGCTGGGACTCTGTTTCTCTCACCACAGACAGCACAGGAAGCGCCCCATTCTCGCTGGTCTTCGTCAGGCAGCCCACCAGCGACAAAAATATGTAGCCATGTCGGGTGTAGGTGCCGCTCCTGGGGCTGCCTTCCTCCAAGTTACACAGACATTCGCCGGGGATGCAGTACCTCACCTCATCAATGGATATTATAATCTTTCTTCCTCCTCTTTAATATAGATACTTAATCCTTGATGAGACTGGTTTGATAAAGGCATCCCATTTAGTGCTGAGTGCACCAATATCTTCAACTCTTTGCGTATTGTCCTGTTCTGAATCTCTATATTAATTACCACCTACTAAAGAATAAGCTTCACTAATGAAGTTTCAATGATACGCTGATCTATGAGTACAGTATATACAATATGTCATTAGGAGTCATCTTATTGCCATGTGCATTTATCAGAATAATAGCAGTTTTTATTTATTTCTCTAGAATTGATCTATGGCCTATCAAGTTGCAGGTCCTTGTCCACTTTCACAATGCCAAGTGTGGGCCTTATCTCATGGTATGAACCTTAAATCCAATTTTAAAAATATAATTGGTACTGAATGAGCATGTGATCAAACCGGAGTCTCAAAATGTGGCTGACATGGGGGTTGACTGAGAAGCCATTGACAATGGCACTGGGTCTTGTTTTGTCTGCATGTACTGGCTTTTTGGAATCCTAGTCTTATTGGATACTCACCTTCCTAGACCTGGAGGGAGAGGGGAGGAACTTGAACTTCCCACAGGGCAGGAAACCCTGACTGCTCTTAGGACTGGAGAGGGAGGAGGAGAGGGAGTGGGAGGAATGGGAGGGTATGGGGAGGAGGGGAGGAAGTGGAAATTTTTATAAACAAATAAATAAATAAATTTGGAAGAAAAAATATAATTGGTTACTTGCATAATATTTGTGACATGGTTAAACCTATTTATATATTGCAGGCAGATCACTGGTTTGTAGCTTCAGTACTATCAAGGCTAATCAAGAGGAATGGATGATGTGCGAAGTTCTTCAGCATATGTGTTACTTTTTATTGGTTAATAAAAAAGGAAGCTTCTTATGAAAGGGCAGAATAGAGCTAGGCAGGCAAACTAAACTGAATGCTTGGAAAAAGAAAATAGAGTCAGAGAGATGTGATATAGCGGCTGAAGGAGACAGATGCACCAGAACTTTACTGGCAAATCACGAGTCTACAATCAAGCTGCTTACTATTTTAAAATATTAAGTATTTTAAAAGCACTCCTATTCAGAAAGTTGTTACAGGTACACAATAAAGACAGATTCAAGTAAAAAGAAAGACCTGTGAGTGGGTCACAGTGTTAAATAAAGTTACATAGGCTTGGGAGAGAGAAGAAAATAAGTAAAGAAACAGTAAAAGTAATATAAAAGAGTGCAAACAGTCATATATTATAGGAGTAAAGATAATAAAATAAAGATTAAACTGGTAGAAAAAGTAATAGAGTAAGAAAATAAACCATGTAAATATGAAGAAACACAGAGAGTCTGGATTATGTGTATTATTATGCTTTTCTGTCTTTGACTGTGAATGAGCTAAGAACAGAAGGATATTTTAATGAAGTCACTGTTAACCTAAACCAACATAAATATTTCAAAGATATCTTGCCTTCAAAATTTGGATCTAAGGATATGTTGCTTTGGAAAAGAAGATCTGCTTTCATTTCCACAGAGGATGAGAACCTATGCATTCTTTCCAGACTAATGTGGTTTGATGGACTAAGACTACCCAAAAAGTCCCCATGAAAATTCTAAAATTATTTTGTCCAACAATAAGCAGGAAGCAGCTTGGAGAGAACAATGACCAAGTTTCCAAATATTGTTTGTAACTGTTTGTTTACATTTAAAGGAGTATATGATATAGAGATGAATACTCTGTATATGGTATGTATCTTGGTTAATTGACACAAATTTAAGTCAATTTTGTTGTATATATTTCAGCTCCAGGTTAAGGTATTGTGTTTTTACAGCTCATTTAAAAGTGTAATAAATAATTAAGAAATATGAGTTAATAGAATTGTTTAAAATAGTCAAACTTGTAATCATGTTAGTTAGGTTTTTTTAGATATATAGAGATATGTTTCAGTAAGATAGATATTCTTCAAACTTTTCAAAAACTAACAGACTATGACGTTCAAAATATTTTAAGAACTTAGGACTTTTCATGACAATGAGACATATCTGCTCCTGGAAGCACCAATTTACCTCAAGAATATTATGGGCAACAAAGAGGCTCTTTATAGTGTTTTCTAGCCATTTGGGCAAGAAACTTCTCTTGCCTAGACTGCTTGATGGCATGTTGTATGTACTGGACATGCAGGAACCACAGAAAAATGACTGCTGACCTTGGCTAGAAGTGAGGCAGTCCTTCAGGGTTTCTGCTTCACTAAAGAGTCTGCCAGACATTCTGCAGGACACAGAAGAAAGTGACTGACAAACTGCCAATATAGGTAAAAGAGTCTTTGAAATTTCCTGCTTTGTGGAAAAGTCTGCCAGAAACTATGGGCCTGTAGGCTGAAGATGGATGCCACAATGTTAAAGAAAAGTTTGCGTGACTTTCCAGGAAGCTAGATGTCTCTGTTGATTCTAGAGTTTTGGAAGTTATTTACAATGCATTTACTGTTAATTTAGGTAATATTATATCATTTATGGGTCTTTGATGGAATTGAAGAATAGATGGTATGGGACAACTGTCTATATTCTGTCAATTATATTTTAAATAATTACTAATTGGCCAGTGTCCAGGCAAGAAGTGTAGGCAGGACAACCAGACAGGAAATAGAGGCAGGTCAATGGGAACAGAATTCTGGGAAGAAGTAAGCTCTTTCTGAAGCTGTGAGCCCTCCACAGAAGAAGCAAGATGTGACTGCCCTGCTGAATAAAGTACTGAGCCATCAACAAATGGTGCCCAATGTGTGGATGACTGCTTCTACATAAAGTTTGAAAGAGCTTGGGAACTAATTCTAGACATAAAATAATAGAGTTAAACATGGCTTGTTGATAGCAGCCCTCTCTTGGGTAGGCTCTGTTTGCTAGAGGCAAATACTCTCATTTAAGAGAGGCTTCCTAACTCAGCTTTAGCTGTAAAACCTTGCAGCTCTTTTAAGAGGTCCAGTCACAAAACACTTAAATGGTGTTAATGAAAACTTGACCACATGCCTTTTGGTTTTGAGCTGTAGCAGGAAAAAGGCCATGCTGTTTTAAAATGTCAGCTTTCTGGGTCATCCTGCTAGGGCCAACTCTGACTTTTTCAGGCAAGCATTCAAAGTATAGAGCATTTAAATATGGTTTGTGAGCACACTGCTGCAGCTTGCTTGCTGGCAGGGACCTGAAATGCCATAGAGTTGTGGCAATAAACGTGGCTATAGCCGCTACCTCTGCCATGAGGCTGGAATCTCAGAAAGCTAAAAAAATGAGCTGGATCTAGCCGTCAAAGCCAGAGCTTTAATCCTCTCTATATTGCTTAGCAAATTAAGGACTTAAATGGTCAGAAGAATGGAGAGTTATACAGTAAAGAGAGATTCAAAGACAAGGAAAACTTCTAAATGTTTTACAGTATGTTAAAAATATTTGCAAGCTTGGGAAGGTAAAGAACAAGGTTAAAGTCCTTAAAATAAAAAAGAAAGAGAGTAGTTGGGTGTGGTGGTACACATCTTTAATCCCAACACTTGGGAGACAGAGGTAAACTGACTTCTGTGAGTTCATGGTGTGGTGGCACATGTCTTTAACCTCAGCTCTTAGGAGGCAGAGGCAGGCAGATCTCTGTGAGTTCAAAGGAAGCCTGGTCTACAGAGTGAATTCCAGGACAAAAATTACAGAGAAAACCTGTCTCAAAAAGCCAAAAATTAAAAATAAAAATAAAAGAAATAGAGGTTAAAATAAAACCATGTAAAGATGAAAAATACACAGAGAGACTGGATACTGCATGTTATTATGCTCTCTTTGAATTGTTTGAATGCTGAGGAAGGAGAAACAGCAACTAAATATAAATACAATATAAATATAATAACAGCTGTTAAATATAAACACTGCTGGATTAATAAAACATAAATATTTTGTAAATGCCTCAACTTTAAAATGGAAATCAAAAGGTATGATACTTTGGAGAAGATTTGCTTTTGTTTCCACAGAAAATGAAAAGTTATGGATTTATTGTCAGTTAAAAAAAATCAGGTTTGATCACGGAAGATCACCTGTGAAATCTCCAGTAGGAACAGATGGCCCAGACATCTGAGTTCTACATCCAGAACAGATTTAAGACTGCTGCCTGGAATGATTAAGCCCCAAAGAATATTCCTGTCAGGACTTGATTATAATTCTAAATTTTCTTTAGGTCCCCATAAGATTATCAGCACCCTTAAACAGCAGGAAGTAGCCTGGAATACAATGCACACATTCCCAAATAATGGACTATGGATATTTTCTTTTGTTTAAGATTTTGGTTACAGATTGTTTTGACTAATGGTCAGAAGAAAAGCTAAACAAAGGATATTAGATTCAGAGTTCTTGTTTTTTAAAAAAGAGGTGGAAGTGGTGTAGGACAATTGTCTATAGTCTGTCAATTATATGTCAAATAAAACCCTGATTGGCCAGAAGCCAGGCAGGAACTATAGTCAGGACAACAAGACAGGAAATAGAGGTGAGTCAATGAGAACAGGAGAATTCTGGGAAGAAGAAAGCTCTTTCTGTAGTTGTGAGCCTGCCACAGAAGAAGAAAGATGTAACTGCCTTGTTGAAAAAGGTACTTAGTCATGTGGCTAACACAGATAAGAATAATGGGCTAATATAAGTTATAAGAGTTAATAAGAAGACTGAGATAAGAAGCCAATCAGTTTACAGTTAATGTAGACCTCTATGTGATTTCTTTGGGATCTAACGACTGTGGAAACCAGGCAGGACAGAAAACTTCAAACAACAGATAGTTATAATTATACTTTTCCTTAGTTATGATAAAAGATAAAGTAGATATAAATATTATAACTGTAATTCATTCTTGATTAATGTTCGGCATATGTAATTTTCTATGTTAAAGCTAAAACCTTTTTTATTTAAATAGTAAAGGGGGAAATTATGTGTGAAGTCCTTCTGTATATGCGTTTCTTTCTTTGGTTAATGAGTAAAGAAGCTTCTTTGGCTTATGACAGAGCATAATAGAACTAGTGGGAAAACTAAGCTGAATGCTAGGAGAAAGAAGGTGGAGCCAGCTTCCAATGTTCTGTTGAAGGAGACCTATGTGCCAGAACCTTGCTGGAAAACTATGACTGTTGTCATAAAATATAAAATAATAGAAATTGATTAATTGTTGATGTAAGAGCTTGCTAGAAATATACTTAAGCAATTGGCCAACCACCACGGCAATTAATATAATTTCTGTGAGATTATTTGGGGTCTGGGTGACTGAGAAATGAATGAGCAGCCTCTGCCAAGAAGTCAAACTTTTGGTTGGGACCAGATTGATTTGTCCACGTGTAACAACAAAAATAGTTTATGTCTTCATCAAAGGGGATTTTCTTTAAATAAAAAAAATATTATCTTTTTGTTTATCTGTCTTTGATACCCCTTACAAAAAAAACTTCTCTTTGCAACATTAGATGCCACTACAGAACACTACAATCAAATCTAAGAGTTGTGGATACCAGTCCTAATGGATACATCTACAAAGTACACCTGTACCTAAGATACTGGGAACATTAAATAGATGAGGTGGAAAGATTTCAAAAACCAGAGGATTATGGAGTTTACTGTGAGACTCTATCTCTTAGTAATGTCAGAAACTACACTTATAAAGTCTCACCAACATGATCGCCTGAACAAGAGTAAAACACAGTTGATACCAATATACATGCAGAACTGGACAGAGAAAAACTTATGAGAACACAGGACATGGTAACATATTCATGCATTTGATTTTTTTAAACATAAGGAAATTGTTTTCTACAAGAAACACTATTAAAATACTTTTCTAAGATTATCATTTGAGCTTGTAATAATACACTTAAATTCTGTTCTTGCAATAGAAACAAATATACACAAACTACACTGTTTATGCAAACAGTTCAGGGGCAGTCACTGACCTTATCTAAAAAAAGTGGTTAAAGATTAATCTTTCTGGATTTTAAATCAGTTAGATGAATAACAGGGCCTCGAGGAGACAGATGACACTGAGGTCAATTAACTCTCTTCCAATCAATTATTAATTTTGTATGAACGGACTAAATGTTGGCGATAAAGATGCACAGTATTATTGAAATGTAAGTTAAAAATCACCATTTTTATGTAAGAGATTTTTTATTGGTCATCACATTAAAGTCAAATGTCCCTCTTTTAATACAAATAATACTACTACTACTACAGTAATTTGTTAATATTTCTTCATTCTTGAAAATTTTGTACATACATACAATAAAATATGGACAAATTTACCTACCATTTCCCCTACTACTCTCCTCTATATCTCCCTTAGCAAGTAATCCATCTAAGCTTATGCATTTTGTTTTTCTTATATAAAAAACCTACTAAGTCCCAATAGTGATGTTCAAATAAGCCATCGGCTTGAGCTTGGAATCAACAAGTGGCCACATCCACTTTTTGAAAACTAATTTTCTCTCCACCAATAATCCTCAATTAGAAGTAACTCATCAGTAAAGAGGAAATCGGGGGCAAGTATCCCATCTATGCCAGAATGCTGTCTGCTTTGTCTTATGTAGATATTATGTGATAGGATTCCAAAGACAGACAATTTCTGTGATTTTTTTTCTCTAAATGGTCTCAAATACATAGAGATACAGTTTCCTTTTAAGTTATGGCTATTACAACCATGGACTAATTTCAGTAAAATTTAAAGTTCTGAGATCTACTAAATTTGGATACTATTTTGAAAGTCTGTTGATTTGATAAGGAACAAAAATGTAAATATAACCCATGCTTTTCAATTATTTTAGAATGTCAGAATCTTTTTTTACAGTAAATTATGTCTATAACCCTAAATTTCACCTTTCTGGTGACAGTCTTTAGGTGGTTCATGACAGTTGAGGCTGTATTGCTGAACTAAATCTGAACATGACTTGACACCATTTTCCCAATATTGACATTCTGTCCTGGTGCAGGAAAATTGTCTGTATTCTGTCAATCATGTTTTAAATAAATGCTGAATGGCCAGGCAGGAAGTATAGGTGGGAAAATCAGACAGGAAGTGGAAATGATGCAATGAGAGCAGGGGAATTCTGGGAAGGAGGAAGCTGATTCTCCCACCCCCGCTTCTTCCCAGACCACTGAAGCAGCAGGATGTGATCTGCCCCACTGAAAAAGGTACTGAGCCACATGACTATCATAGATCAGAATAATGGGTTAATATAAGCTACAAGAGCTAATACGTAGCCTGACCTAATGGATCAATCAGCTTTATAACTTATAGAGATCTCTGTGTGATTTTCTTTGGGGTTAAACAGCTGTGGGAACCCGGCAGGACAGATAACCCTGATGAGCTTGGCTAGCTCAGATCCCACTTCTAATACCAGGAAACATAAGCAAACCAGCCCCTCATGTTACACTGACCTGTATCTTTAGGAAATATTCTTTGGATATTTCCTTAAGTCTTAAGGAATTGATGAATAGAAACTAGACCCTTGACTAGCTCGGTGGCTGCAGATGATACTGGAAAAAAATTTACTTCCAATCTAGTGAATTCTCTTGGAGAACTAGTAATAGCTTTAATATATATATATATATATAGATAGATAGATAGATAGATAGATAGATAGATAGAGATTTCTTGTTAATTTTAAATATATGTCATATATATATATAAATATTTCAAGTTCCATTTCTGTATCATGAAGATATTGTATATTGTATATATTCATGAAAATTCCCAACAGATGAAAGTGGTGATACCCTTAAAAACTTCTAAACGACTCACATTGAGCATTTGCTTTGAGATATATAGGGTTACCACAGAGCAGAATAGCAACAACCCACTTGTCATTGATGAAGACTAATTTCCTGTAACTTTGTCCACAATGATGTCTGTGCACTTTGTCTCTTTACAGGTAAGAAAGGGGTCAGGCAATTGTGACAAATGTTAATCCCAGGATTTAGGAGGCTGAGGCAGGTGGATCTCTTTGAGTTTGAGGCCAACATGGCCTACAGAGTGAGTTCTGGGGCATCCAGGGCTACACAAAGAAACCCTGTCTCAAAGAAACAGAAAATAAAATATAATAAAATAAACAAAGAAAAAGAAATAATTCTTGAATTTTAAAAGCAGAAACGACATCCCAAGTTCAAGTATTACTCACACAAAATTGACAATGTTCTTGAATATCCTGCCCACTTCAGTTTGTTTGCCTTCTTAGCAGTCTCAAATAAAGGAAGTACACTGCCCAGAGTATTCAGCAAGGAATGGTATAACCATCTTCTTTCTTAATATAGAATGGCTGTAGCCTGCAGAATAGGAGAACCAAGCAAGTCCTCCAGAATCACACAGGTATGTGACTGGCAATACATTGACTACAGCCTATATTCAAGAGGAAGAGGCAGGGAAATCTCTGCGACCTTCCGGCCAGCCTGGTCTATGTAGAGTTTCAGTACGGCCAGAGTTATACATTGAAATCTTAAAAGAAAAGGAAAGAAAAAAAGAAAAAAAGAAAGAAAGAAAAAAGTCATCTTATACACCTAATCTCAGTGTTTAAGAATGATTGGGAAAGTAACCAATAAAACATTACTATAGGAAATGAAGTTTATGATTTGGATCAAATGCAGTTTGGGTCATTATTGGGTCATTTCCTGATTCCACAGCTGTGTGGACTGCTGTTTATGTCTGGGTACTCTATACTGGATCCCTGCTGGCCTCTTTCTATGCTGACAAGCAGAGTGGCACCAAGATCTGTATGACCTGCATTGTACTGCACTGCCCTTTTCTTGTTTCTATGGCTCTAAGGAATAAATAACTGGTTGTGTTTTTTTTTTTTTCTGTACAGATTTTAGTGTTTGGTTTTGTTCTTTAAATTTTCAAAGATAATTCTTGATGTTCAATTTTGTTTGTGGAATTTGGAAGATTTTCTGCATATACAGTCATGCTGTTCGTGATGAAACATAATTTTCTTTCTCCATTATTTACTGCTTTTTGGACAAGACAAGACAAAACAAGACAAGAAAGTGCAAAGGATTCCTCCATTTCATATTCTTGCTAAGGCCATCTCAGTTTAACTAGAATTTGATCTCCTTGATGGAAAATCCCGTGAAAAATTATGCAATCCTATTCTAAGAACTTGAGGTCAAGATGACTCAGCTAATTTTCTGTTAAATTGCTTGCTTATGCAAACCTCATGGTCCAGCTAAATGATTATCTTAGCTTTAGTTTAACTTCTTGCCTGTTTTATAAAACCTCCCCTTCAACAGCCAATCAAGAAAGTAAGATTCCCTGAAGTGGATTTTGCCCAGAAAAAAAAAAAAAACCTTAATCCTAAATGCCCTCTGCTATATTTATGTCCAAAATACCTGAATATAGAGCCAGGTGGGTCGATTGTGTTTCTGAGCGATCTTCTCTAGTGAACACTTTTAATTTATTTTTTTATTATCAAAAAACTCTGCATAGAACTCACCATATCATGTTGACTCATTGCAAAAATGTCAGGAAAAAAGTCACTGTGCATAATGTCACCTGGGGTTTTTTCATTAGTACAGATCAAATGAGACAAGTGTGGAGGCCCAAAGAGGCCAAAGGTCAGAGAGTTTGGGACTTGTTTTTAGCTTGAAATTATTGTTTTTAACTCAAACAAAGGTACCACCTTGTTGTAAATCAGACTTTTACTCTCTTAAGGGTATTGTAAACAGTTGTGACTAGTTGCCAGATCTCTGTGCTACTAAAATAGGGAAGTAGTTGATTCCTACCTAAAACAAAAGTCTAAAGATCCAACTAAATTCTAGTTCCCTTTATGGAACTAACTTGGGATTCCACACAGGGAGTGGTGTGCCTACAGAGTGTTTGGTCTAGGGCATGAGTCAGGGGCATGAGTGACTGAATGTACCCCAGGACTTTCAATTTGTATGATAATGCAGCCCTTTTGTTCTATTGCTACCTTTTGAAATCAGGGGTATATTAAGCTGTTGGAAATTAAACATGGGCAAATTTTCAGTATTCACTGAAATTCCCTCGAAATACTATCCTATGGTTTCTGTGTTTTATTATTTTTGTTCATGTATTTGTATTCTTTACTATATTTCTAAAATTCCCACACCTCCACTCTGGAAGAAATGTATTTTTGTTGAGGCTGGCTTCTGAGAGATAAGATCTTGTTACTCCTATTTTCTGAATATTTTCTTTTATTATAAAAAAATGCTATGAGACAATGGTTTTTACCCTGGAAATTGTATTTTAATAAAACACTGATTGGCCTGTAGCCAGGCAGGAAGTACAGGTGGGACAGCTAGGCAGGAAGTAGAGGTGGTGTAATGAGAACAGGAACATTCTGCGAAGATGAAAGCCCATTCCTCTGCAGTCGTGATCCAGCCACAGAAGAAGCAAGATGTGACTGCCTTGCCAAATAAGGTACCAAGCCACATGGTTAACATAGACAAGAAAAATGGGCTAATATATTTTACAAGCATTAATAAGAAGTCTGAGCTAATGGGTCAATCAGTTTATAACTAATGTAGAACTCTGTGTGATTTCTTTTGGACTTAACAACTGTAGGAACCGGCCAGGATAGAAACAGCAAACTACAGAAAATAATTAACTTTATCTAATGGTTGAGATCTTACTTTTTCTCTTTTTTTTTTCTTTTCAATGTGGTATATTTTCATTGGTAGAAATCACACATTGAAAGATATTTGAATTGGAAGAAAAAATTTTACTTCATTGAATACAAAAGTATTTTAGTATTTAGTAGTATTGGTTTTCCACTAAGGATTTCTAAAGAGTATTCATGAGAAACATCATTCTATTGCAATAGTGAACATTATGTTTAAAAACTTAAAATTACTGTTTAAGAGAACTATAAAAACAAAAATGCCTAATTTGTAATTCCTGAAATGTAGGGGATTGTTTTTGTAATTGCCTGTGTTTTCACTTCAGTAAACAAGCTTGTGTGCCCCTGACTGCACATTAGCTGGATGTGTTCTTAATTGTTTGTAAGTGTTGTAAAGATAAAAATAAAATGCTGCAGGATCCCTGGTGACTGCAGTGGCAGAAACGCTGCAGGTCCCTGAGCAGGGGCAGGCAACGGGCCCCAGAGCAGCTGGTCCCAGTCAGGGATAGCACAAAAGACCACGTTGCAGGTCTCCAAAGGCAGCTGGTCCCAGGTGGCTAGCCACATGGTGGCATCAGGCAAAGGACAGATGAATAGGAACACCACGCAGTGTGAGGTTGGATATTTATTAAGTGGGTTATGGAAGGAAAGGGGGGAAGTATAAGAGCAGAGAGATGGGTAGAGAGAGAGGGAGAAGATAGAGACAGAAAGAGAAGGGAGAGATGGAAACTGTCTCTTTGAGAGGGAGATGGAAAAGGGGTAGACTCAGGTTGCAAGCAGGAAGTAAGATCTGCTTGCCTTGGCAAATGGGAAGGAGTGTGTGGCTTGTCTCTTAAAGGGACAGAACAGACCATTACAGGTAGGATATGTGCCTGATTACAGTCTATATGCTTGACCCTGATTACAAAATGGCAGGAAATACATAGCCTTGTGAGTTTTGCCTTTATAAATTCATGATTAATGCAATCATATGAATGTGCTTAGATATCTATTGTCAGTATTTAATAAAGTCTCTTATTTGTTAAATTTCTTCACTGTCATGTTGAATCTCTAGGTGACCTCAGACCCATAACACTACAATTCTATTTCTTACAAAGTCTGTGTCTGGATGCAATACCAAGTTAATCCTGATTTTGAAGGATGATTTAGAAATTACTTTCATTTGCTATCCTTCACTGGAACAGTTTTACACATTTTCTATGTGTATAGCTGAAGAAGCTCTGAGTGAGTGTGTAAAGAGTCAATAACGTCATGCATATGAGAGGGCCAAGCAAAAATTATGATAGGCCCCTAATAACTTAATTAAGAATAAGTCCTGGGCCAACTCCCACTCCACACAGGTGATCACTATATAAGAACAAAGCCTGGGACTTGTCCAAGACTTGTCAAAGAATCAAAACGCTATAACATTAGCCCACCACTCATAGCCCTAACTAATTAGAAATGTACTAATATAATTGTAGTATCAATAATAAAAGCCCAGATGCAGAAATTGGGGTTAAATTTGAAAACCAGAAAGTCTTTACTGGAGAAGTATTGCTTCTACCAAGGTTGGGCAACTGCAAACTAAGCAGAAAGCCTCTCTTTCCACTCATTTGGTATTTTCTCTAGTGCTGAGATTAAGAGCATATGACTCCCAAGCACTGGGATTAAAGTGTAGACCACCACCACCTAGATTTATTTCTGTATTGATCTTGTGTCATCCAAAGTGGCATTGAAATCACAAAGATCCATCTGACTCCATCTCTTAAATCCTGGGATTAAAAGTGTGTTTCACTATTGCCTGACCTCTAGTTGCTTAAGATTTGCCTCTGGTCTTTGGTCAAGATTTACTTATCAAAAAAACTAACAATATACCACTATATATGACTGCCACCTGAATAAGCCAATCCTAAGCAGGATGGTCATACTGCTTTTAAAATTCCCATAGCTGTGCTTAAAAGGAGCTTACACATTCCTCTTGGGGTTGTTGCCTTTTTGTACAGGTGTGTGATCCCACATGTATGTGGCATAATCAATGCTCTTGCTGATTGCATTGACACAGGTAGTTTTTTGGAGACTCCTTATGTTCCCTAACATATAAATATCTATTATTGACAAGGATCACTGTCTCAGAGCTATGAAAAGTAGAAAAGACTTTTGCAGTGTAGGCTCAAAATTTCAGTCTTCCTCTGATCAGTATGCAAATGTTGACAGAGAATACAGAAAGCATGATTGTGGGAGTCAGCCATGATAAGCTAAGTACGGGCAGGTCTCCCAAAGGAAGTTCTTTACTTTCAACCATTATCACCTGCCAGAGTAGAACTCAACCATCAGTAAATTTAATAAGAGGCCTGCATCTCAGTAGTTCACGATGAGGCAGGATTGCAGGAAGAAACACATGCTGAGATTACCCAAGCTCCACCCAAGAACAGACCATTCAAAGGAAATACGTAACATTCCAACTGCTGTAAATAGGAATACTTGCCAGAACACATTCACCAGGACACCTCTAGATAAATGTCAGCTAATCAGGGGACCTAAAACCTCAGAAACCCCCCACCCCCAACTTTACTACTATAAAATCCTATTCTAATTGAGCTCAGGGCTCTCCATTTATTCTAATATGCTGGACATGTGGAGAGACCGAGTTTGCAAGCTTGATTAAAATAAAGGCTCTTTGCTTTTACATACAGGACTCAGTCTCCCTGTTGGCTTTTGCTGGGATTTTGCATATTTAGGCATATCATTTGGAAGCTCACCCTGGAACCCCTAAGCCACTACGACTACCACCCATAGAGCCTTCAATCGGCCAGTAACTTTTCTGTTTTTTTTTTCATGTCAGTAAGTTTTCTTTGTTTTATTTCATGACAGTAAGTTTTCTGTGTTTTGTGTTATGTCTCATGTCTGTGTCTTTGTCTCATGTCTTTCTGTGAGCAGGTCCAGGAACCAGAAGTGCCTGAAGATGATCTGCAGACTCACAAACACAGCCTGGGCTCCTGGAGAAGACATTCCCAGGGCCCTTCAGCAGAGCATGGTTCCCTCTGGTGAGACACACGGGTAACATTGTCAGTTCTATGTTTTAAGACACATAAGTAGCATTGTCAGTTCTGTGACAAGACACATGGGTAGCAGTCTCATTTCAAGAGAGGGGCAGGTCACACCCATGAAACAGCTTGAAGCTGTGTCTTTGCTTTGGTTTGGTGCCATTGTCCTGTTCATTTTCCTGTATGTCTGTGTGATATGTTTGTGTCCTGACATAGGCTGCAGCTGATGATATGGAACAGACTCAAATCATACTCCTTTGACTTTGATATTGTGATCACTTACAGGACTTTAGAGATAGGGCCAAAAGCATAGAGATAAATTTTCCTCGACGCCTTAAACATTTCACAACAAGGTGTCAACATTGGCACCAAGCACAAGGCTGCTAGCTGCAGGGTAGCATGCTTGTATGGATGGGTGGCTGGCCTATGTAGCCTTGTTGTTGCAATGTAGCAAGGCTGCCAGCCACACTCGTAGAGGGCAGATGTATGCCAATAGGATTTCAAACACTGAACAGAGAATCTGGGGCTAATTGCTATGGCTTGGAGAGGACAATCATCTTTTCCCCCAAACTGCATATCACCCTGTCCCTCCCTTACTGGTGGATGAGTTCCCTCCACCTATCCTGTGTGTGGTGTGCCTCAACTTCTGGTCAAACCTGACCAAGGTTTGACTGTAACATGAGGGCCTGCTTGTCGGGTTTTCTCTCCTGCCCAGTTCCCACAGCTGGTAAACCCCAGAGAAAATCACAGAGAAGTCTCCATAAGTTATAAACTGATTGGTCCATTAGCTCAGGCTTCTTATTAACTCTTATAACTTATATTTGCCCATTATTCTAGTATATGTTAGCCACATGACTGGGTACCTTTTTCAGCAGGGCAGATCACATCCTGCTTCTTTGGTGTCTGAGCAGGACTGGGATGAGAGCTTCCTTCTTTCCAGAATACTCCTGTTCTCATTGCCCTGCCTCTACTTCCTGTCTGATTGTCCTGACTATACTTCCTGCCTGGCTACTGGCCAGTTAGCGTATATTTAAAACATAATTGACAGAATATAGAAAATTCTCCTGCACCATTTGACTTTCCTCTACCAGAGCTCCTTCGATCATTCTGAATCAATGTGTTATTAATATCTGTCATCATTTTTAGGGTCTGGTTACAAATTATTATTGGTTAATATAAAAAAAAACTGCTGTAAGACTCAAATGTTTCACACTAGTACAAGACTTTTTGTGATGTTAAATTAAAGGTTTTTTGTTATAATATATGCATGTTTCTGTTCTTGCTTCAAATATTATAGCCATACACCACTGAGAAAAAACACAAAAAAGACATCAGGAAGAGTTTTATGTTGTCTAAAAAGTGAGGGACTTTGGTGTGTTGTTGAAAATTTGGGCTAATTCTGGTTAAGGTAAATGTAAAAAAAAAAGCTATATAAGAAATTATAAAAGATCAAAAGGGGATGTAAACTATGGTTGCTATGGTTTCTCAAACATTCAAATACTAAATACACTTGCTTTGTTAAAAAAAGTTTGTCTATATAACTTTCTTACAAACATGGAGCTGAGACAACAATGGCCTATTTTTGCTGTTACGGGCCTGACTTCAGAAATTTATCGCTTAGCTCTGATTACTAAATTTATTTGCTTAAAGCACTTCACTTATTGCAAAAGATGACATCAGAACAGGATGACCTAAAAGCAGCTGTTAAAATATGGCTGTTATTCCTAGGTCCATGAAATCCCCAAAATCCAACAAGATCTAGTCACATATGTAAAAGACAAGAGCCTTTACTACACACACGTTTGAAAACTTGGAATGATAGGAGAGCTCTGAGCTCAGTTGGAGCTGGGTTTTTATAGTAGTAAAGGTGGGGGGGTAAGGAATTTCTAAGGTTCAAGACCCCTGATTGGCTGACATTTATCTAGGGGTCTCCTGATGAATGTGTGCTGGCAGGTGATCCTATCTACAAAGGTTGGAATGTTGAGAATTTCCTTTGAATGGTCTATTCCTGGATGGTGCCCAGACAGTCTCAGTGTGTGGTCCTTATTGGAACCAGGTCTTGCTTTAGGGTAAACTACTGAGACTCAGGCCTCTATTAAGCATATAATGGCTGGGTCCTACACCTCTCCCTTCAGAAGTACCAATGACAGGACACAGTCATGAGTCCTGCTTGCCCGTGGGTTTAAGGAGATAATATTGGAACCTAAGAACCTTTAGCTAACAAAGTTTTCCAGAACAGTGGCCAGCCTAACAGGCCCTGTAGTTTTGTTCTTTTGAGTACAACAAAATTGTAATTATATTCCTGAATGTCTTCTTTGGTTCTTGGTTGTGCATAAAGAACCAAATGTCTTTTTATTGTAGGATCATTTTAGTTAACAAATCCTTTAATTGACCACTCTGTGCCTATTTTTTTCTGGTATATCAACAGGCACTATAGGTAGTCATTTTGTCCCCGTGACAGGGAATTACTCCTTATCTCAGCCTTTCAGCCTATTCTGGGCAGAGAGCATAGGTTGTTGTGTTCCTTTCTGCAACTTCTTCAAGCTAATATCAGGGTATTGTCATCAGGTCCCAAGTAGATTGAAAGGATAACCAAAGGTAAGGATGGAACTCAGGCAATGGGGCACTCATCAGAATCATCAGGTTCACAGACTCTGTTGAAGAGCCAGGGATTATTCACATCAGCTGGACTGGTCCACATCAGCTTTCAGAAAGTCCAGAGCTCACAGTCATTCAGAGCAGACTGTAGTCAGCAACCGAAGCTTGGATATGTCTGCCAGCCAAGTGAAAACCTATTGAGATAAGTTTAAACTAAGAACAGAAGTTAAAATTTATGTACTTAAAGAAAAATAATACATTTGAAACTTTTAGGACCATATTGATCCATATTGCAGAAAAAATACAGATAATGGGTACCTTTATACAGCATGCATAGACTCATATCTTTGAGTCCTACCAAAAACTACAGATTTTCATTAGAAGCATATACATATATACATATATTTTTCTGCTGTCCAGAGAGCCATGTATGGATTGGACAGAGATGCCTTTGGCCTGATGAGAAACACTTTTAAGGTTTTATTTTTATGGCAACCAGAATAAATCTAAAATCTCAAGTGTGATCCAAACAGTAAGTAGTCATTGCTCTATCAGTCTATCAGAACTATACCTATAAAAGCCAAATTCTACATGGTCAGTGAGGGTTCCTAGATAGGGGATCCATGAGGCTAAAGAAAAGTCAGAAGAAACAGAAGAGAGAATAGAATCAGGAGGTCTACCTGGTCATGCCGAGGCAGCCAAACAGCCCAGAGTTTATTTCATAATTTGCTTATATACAAAGACGGAACAAAGCACAGCATAAATGGTCAGTCGGTATTTAACAACAAAACTATTCCTGTCCTTGAGTGAGCAGCCTCCTCCCCAACACATGCTTGCTGCTCAGAAAAGACAGACCTTACTTTATCTAGGCAAAAGGGGTACCATAGATTCTCAAATCTACTGCTGTTTGTACACAGTTTGGACCAGGTCCTGGCAGCAGGTGTTGTACTGGGACATCTTTCCCAGTGGTAAACATCATCATAATCTAGGTAGTGACATTATGGTTTCCCATAATCTTCTTTGGAGACCTTTGATCACTGCTAGGATCTCAGAGTGTCTGTCTACTATAAGCTTTTTAATCTTTATTTTAAATGCCATATTCTGAAGATCCTGGAAATATGAGGGCTGCCTAGGTATATCTGATTAGACAAACTTTGATTCTAGTTACTTGTTTTAAGTTTAACTTTGAAAACATATACAGGGAACTTAAGGCTTATTCCTGTAATTAATTATATCAATTATATCAATTATATCAATACTTAAAGGATGACTGACAAACTTATATTTCCTAACAGTCTATAATAAGTTGTCAGCTTTCATAAGACTAGAACTTTACATTCTGTAATGATTTTCAATTGAAACTAATAAAGAAAATAAGTTAGTCATTCTGAGAGTAAAAACAGAACAAGTTTATATCCAGCTGTTAATGCGGTCTCCTGGGAAGGCAGGAAAAATTCCCAGAATGAAATGAGAACAGAACAGGAGGGAGTTTAATGGTTAACATTGCCCTAGAACAAACTGAAACTTGGACCTCCCTTCCTGCTAATCTAAAGAAGCCATCTTGGTAGGTGTATACCAAGTTGCCCTGGGCAAACTGCCTTGGGCCTTACATTTTCCCCCTTCAAAAGTACTGATGACAGGATTCAATCAGGGACTCAAGGGGTGAAACTGGGACCTCAATACCATCAGTTAAATAGTATTGACCCATTCTTGAACAAAAGCCATCAGTTTGTTTATGAGGCAGTTGGTATAGGAGGCCCTTCTGGCTATGTGTTGCTTTCATTGGTTAATGAATAAAAAAAACTGCCCTGGCCTGTTGCTGGGGCAAAACATAGGTAGGCGGGGAAGATGGAACTGAATTCTGGGAAGAAGAAAGCAAAGAGAGAAGGAGATGTCATGGATCTGCCAGAGATAGACACTTAGAATTTTACCTGGTAAGTCACTGCCATGTGGCAATATACAGATTAATAGAAATGGGTTAAATAATAAGAGGCTAGAGCTAATGGGCCAAACAGTGATTTAAATAATACAATTTCTGTATGGTTATTTTAGGGCTAAGCTAGCCAAGGCAGGTGGAATGAACAAGCAGGCCCTTTTTCCAACAATTGGCGCTCAGGCAGTCAACTAAAAACATGTAAAACATTTCATTGTATGGGTTAATAAGCTAAACCAGCATGCATATTATAAAGGTATCTTGACTTCAAAATTTGGGGCATGTTGCTTGGGAATAAAAGTTCTTCTTTTGTTTTCACAGAAGATGAGAACCTGTGGATTGCTTCTAGGCAAATATGATTTCAAGACCAAAGCCTCTTGAAAGGTCCTCGTAAACACTCTCAAAAAATTACTTCACCTAACTGATGACCGAGATGAACTTAGCACACATGATATGCCATAAAATATCTGATTAACAGTGCCTCCAAACAGCAGGAAGCAGTATGGATAAACTATACCCATATTCTCAAATATTGCTTATAAATGTTCGTTTACATTTAAAGGGGGATATAATATAGATATGAATAATTTCCATTGGTATATGTCTCGGTTTATTGATACAAATTTAAGGTCAATTCTGTTATATGTATATGTCTTTATATGTTTCCTCTTGATTAAGGTATTGTGATTGTGTAGCTCATTTAAAAATGTAACGTATAATTAAGAAATACAGGTTAATAGAGAGTCATCTTTAATAGTCAAGCTTGTAGTCATGGTAGTTAGATTTTCTAATTGTATAGAGACATATTTCAGTTAGATAGGTATTCTTCAAATTTTTAGAGACCTTGGGAATATGGAATTTAAAATGTTTTAATAACTTAGGACTTTTCATGACAATGAGACACATCTGTTCCTGGCAGCACCAATCTACTTCAATAGGAAGATGGGCATCAAAGAGGCTCCATATGGAATTGGTTAGCCATTTGGGCAAGAAGCTGCTCTTGCCTAGGACCCACAGAACAATGACTGCTGAACTTGCCTAAAGGTGAGATGATCCTTCGGGGATCCTGCTTCATGAAAAAGTCTGCCAGATATTCTGCAGGACACAGAAGAAAGTGACTGAAAACTTCCAATATAGATTGAACTGTCTTTGAAATTTCCTGCTTCATGGAAAAGTCTGCTGGATAATATGCGCCAGTAGGCTGAAGACAGATGTCCCAACAGTACAGAGGAACTTTGGGTGACTTCCAGGCAGTGAGATGTTTATGTCAATTCTAAAGTTTTGGAAGTTGTTTATAATGCACTTCCTGTTTACTTAAGTAAAACTCCTTCAGGAGTCTTTGATGGAGTTGAAGAATTTATAGTTATAGTTTTTCTTAGTTATGATAAAAGATAAAGTAGACACAAATATTGTAACTGTAGTTCTTGCTTGATACCTCTTTTGTTATATGTAGTTTTGTTATGTTAAAGTTAAATCCTTCTTTTTGTTTATACAGAAAAAAAAGGAAATGGTGTAGGAGGTCCTTCTGGGTATGTGTTGCTTTCATTGGTTAATGAATAAAGAAACTGTCCTTGCCTGTTGCAAGGGCAGAACTTAGGTAGGTGGGGAAGATGGAACTGAATTCTTGGAGGAAGAAAGCAGAGAGAGAGAGAGGCCATGGATCCACTGGAGACAGACACTTAGAATTTTACCTGGTAAGCCACTGCCATGTGGCAATATACAGATTAATAGAAATGGGTTAAATCAAGATGTGAGAGTTAGCAAAAAAGAGGCTAGAGCTAATGAGATAAGCAGTGATTTAATTAATACAATTTTTGTGTGGTTATTCTGGGGCTAAGCTAGCTGGGTAGCCAGGGAAAACAAGCAGGCCCTCCTACAAACAGGCAGGGATCAAGAGTAAGTGGTAAGAGCAAGATCATTAGGGGGCCTATTGGCTAAAGGTAAAGTAGTTAACCTAAGAGACCAGTTGAACAAGTTTTCATACCATCCAACTTCCCATGAGTATTCTGTTTCCTATTATTAATCTGTTTTTGTAACAAGGCCATTGAATTTCTTATTACCCCAGAGTTATTGACATAGAGACAACATTCTTCACCCAGGGAAGCATATAAGACTCCTTGTTGCATAAAGAGGAGGTCCAAACCTCTTTGATTCTGTAAGGTAACCTCAGCCAGGGAATCTAAAGAGGTCTCTAACTTGAGTAAAGACTGTTCTGTTTTTGAGATCTGAATTGGTGGCTGACTGTTGGGCCTGGTAGGTTTTTTTTGTATGATTAAGTCTAACATGCCCACCATCTTTGCTCCAGCTATACCCAGTTCAATCAGAGAAGAGAGCAAGCTAACTATTGTCCCTATTGCACATTTGCCTTGGTAGGAACATGGGATAAGGTCAGTTCCATTTGGGCCTCTGTATAGTATTTTATGTTGGGGAACAATTGGACCATCACACTAAATCCTTGTCCTGTGTTAAGGACTGCCCCATGGATGCAGAGAGTTAGCCTTGAATTGCAAGCCCACCATCCAGCAAATGCCAAATAAAGGGTGTTATTTTGTATGTTGATGGGCTGACTTCATAGACCCACTGAAGTTTGTCTTACAGGGGGCACTACACAGCTCTTCATACCTGTCACCTGCTGTAGTGAAATTTTTCCTTGTTTTCCCCATGGGTAGGATTTTGGAGAAACTGAGGTGTAATCACTAGCTATTGCAATGCCAACGTCAAAAGGTGGTTGTGCATTCAGACAAAGTCAGCATTCTTTAGTCAAAGTAGGTCTCAACACATTTATCACCTAGAAGGTTTTAGAAACCAAGTCCCATAAAGGATGTCGACTATATGATCTGCTGGCCTGGCATGGATATGATGAATCCAGGTGGTGATTTCATCTACCTCCAGGGCTGTTGGAGTTGTCAGGATCACAGTATATGGTCCTTTTCAGTGCGGCTGAAGGGTCTCCCTCTGGCATCTCTTTATGAAGACCCAATCACCTGGCTGAATCTTATGTTGCATGGGTGGTGGTGCTATCTCATAAACAGTTCTCAGGCAAGGCCATATGTCCTTATGCACAGGAGCCACAACCTTGAGGGAAAAAGCCACGCTAACACTTTAAAATTCAACAAAAAGCTCCAATTTTAAGTTGGACAAAATAGGAGGGGGTTCGTAAACATGATTTCATATTGGGTTAATCCCAAGGTATAGGGTGAATTTTAAACTCTATAAGGGAGAAAAGGAGAAGAGTCACCCAGTCACTACAAGTTTCCAATGTTAATTTGGTAAGGGTCCCTTTTAGGACCCTGTTCATGTACTTGACCTGACCTGAATTCTGGGGCCTATGAACACAATGTAATTTCCAATTCACTCTCAGTGCCCTTAACAGGAGCTGCATTACCTGAGAGATAAAAGTTGGTCTATTGTCTGAACTTAAGAGGATAGGAATACCATACCTCAAAATTGTGTCTTCAAGTCATGTTTTGGTGAACATCTGTGCAGATTCATGTTCGGTTGGAAAACTCTCAAACCATTCAAAGAATGAATCTATAAATATGTTGCCATCACATGAAAAACTGCTCCCATCTGTGTACCAGGTGAGCTCGGCATCTGGCAAGGGCTGGTCTCGTAGGTCTTTTCTCAGTCTATGAACGTGACTCGGGATTCCTTGCAAGCTTCAGTGTCAGCTGCTATCAGAAGGTCATCACTATACTTGACCTTTGGCTAGGCATCTCAGTTGACACTTCTATTCATGTGTATCTCCTGCATTGGCTGCTAGGAGGATTCTTTCCATATTTTGAGTCTGCTTCTCATTCTCTTCAGCAATAACCCTCCTCTGTTTGTCCTCTTTGGATTCTGGGTTGTTGTACATTCTGAACTACTGCTAACAGCTCTCAGATGCTCTTATCTGTCTTATAGATGCCCCTCTATCTTCTGTAACTTGCGCCTAATGTCAGGCACAGCCTGATTAATAAAGACAGTAACCATGGCTGACATATTCTCCTCAGTCTTAGGATCTAGAGGAGAGTATGCCCTAAAAGCCTTCATAATCCATTCTAAGAAGACTGATGGAGATTTTGTCTTTTCTTGTAGTATATTACTGACTTTGGCCAAATTGGCGGACCATCTGCTGTCCACGCAAAGACCTCTCAGAATCTGGCAGTAGACCCAGAGCTTCTTCTTACCTTCTTCTTCTTTTTTTTTTAAAGATTTATTTATTTATTTATTTATTTATTTATTTATTTATTTATTTATTATGTATACAGTGTTCTATCTGTCTGTTTGCTTGCTGGCCAGAAGAGGGCACCAGATCTCATTACAGATGACTGTGAGCCACCATGTGGTTGCTGGGAATTGAACTCAGGACCTCTGGAAGAGCAGTCAGTGCTCTTAACCTCTGAGCCATCTCTCTAGCCCCTCTTCTTTCCTTCTGCGAAGGTGAAATTCCAGTTAGGAAAGGTCGGGGGAAGGCTTTGTCTGTTAGGGCAAGGTTGACAGTTGGGTTTCCAACAAGTCCTGGGACCAACTTTCGGATCTCTGTCAGAATTCTCTCTTTCTTCCTTGGTAAACAGCATGGTAAACAATTGATTGTAATCTTCCAAGGTTGGTTGATGGGTGAATATAACAAAATCTTAAAGGTTAATAAGGGCCCTTGGATTGTCTGAGAAACTGGGGTTTTGGTTTTTCCAGTTATAGAGATCACTAGAGGTGAAAGGCCAATGCTTCATATGTTCATTGCCTTCCTTGTCCTGTGGACTGACCCCCCCACCCATGGGAAGAGCAGCAGAGGTGGCCTCCTGGAACAATTATTGTGCCCATCCTCTGGTGAAGGATGAGTTTTACAAATTTTCTGAGGCTCCCTGGGCCCTCTCCCTGGTCACCTTATCAGTTCGGGGAGGTGGTCGGTAAGGAGGGAGGTGAGAAAAGGAGTTCATCCTCTGTCCCCTCTTGAAGCACAGGGGCAGATGAGGGCTTAAGATCCTCTCACCTTTTTCCTCCTATAAGGCAAAGATAGTCTTGTTTCTCAGCCCCCTGGAAATTAACGAAGCGGGAGGTTGTGCTACAAGGTCCTCCCAAGTGATTAGGTAAGAAATTTGGTCTGGGTGTCCAAGTTCACCAAAAATCAGGTCTCTTGTCAAATGTTCCCTCTATCAGCCAAGCGGTTCCAAAAGCTGGCCATTAGGTCTTACAAAAGATGGTAAGTTTACCCTTTTTAGTTTCCAAGTTTTCTTTCTTTGCTCTATTTCTAAAGTCCTGAAAATGGTCCAGAATCAAAGTTATGGTAGCAGGGGTACTCCCAGTCTGTCCAAAACCTTCAGCATCAGTCTAAGTCAGGACAAAAGCACAGCAACACACAGATACACAGGACAATGAACAGATAAATAGTCCTTCTGGCTCCCTGGAGGCAGAATTAAAACTGAAACGCCTAAAGCACAACCTGTACATCTATCTACTGAACTGAGATGCTGTGAGCATTTCACACATCTATCTACGAAAACCAGAGAGATCCATTCATACAGCAAGGCCCTGTTGACATCTCCTCAGATACTCCGCTGTGACCTTTTCATACATTCGCATACACCGTCTACACACTCTTATAGTTTCTGGGACCACTTACAGAAAGATACAAGACACAAAAAGACATGAGACATGAAACAAAACACAGAAATGTTCCTGAAGGCTATAAGGGTGGTAGTCCTAGTAGGCTTGGGGAATCCTGAATGAGCCCCCAAATGTTATTCTCAGATCCGCAGAATCCTTGTAAAACCAATAAAGAGACCGAGTCCCATATGTAAAAGTAAAAAGCCTTTATTCTACACGAGATTGAAAATTCAGGCTCTCCATGTGTTCAACTTATTGGAGTGATCAGAAAGCCCCAAGTTCAGTTAGAGTTGGGTTTTTATAGTAGTAAATGTGGGAATGAGGGATTTCTAAGTTTCAGGACTCCTGATTGGCTGACGTTTATTCAGGGGTCTCCTGATGAATGTGTGCTGGCAGGTGATCCTTTCTACAAGGGTTGGAACGTTAGGAATTTCCTTGGGATGGTCTATTCCTGGGTGGTACCTGGGCAGTCTCAGTGTGTGGTCTTTATTGGAATCAGGTATTACCTCAGGGTGAACTACTGAGACTCAGGCCTCTATTAAACTTATCATAGTGTTACAATGGTGTGAGTTGGAACCATGTTGGGTCAGAGCAGTCCAAGAGACTTCAAAATATACTGCCTATTGTTGTTGTCCTTGGTTGGCCCAGCAGAGTTACAAGGTAAGTAAGTTGCTAAAGACATGATGTACTTCAAAAACAGGGCCCAGAGTCCCTGAACTAAACTGACCTGAATACCTCTTCTCAAGGGCTAGCTTTCATGGTACCAGAAAGCAACATACAAATTTCCAAAAGAAGAGGGAAGCCAACCCATAGTCCTGCCCAGCTCTGAAGACTGTGAAACACAGTGATCAGAATATTACAATAAACCTAATGGTACAGAAGTGGCATGCATACCCTGCTGGTAACCTATGGCTTTTTAGTTGAACTTATAGCATACTCAACAAATGGGAAACCATAGATGGCCACTACTCAGTGATAGTGAAGTCATGGTCTTTGGAAGAGAACTTAAAACCACTAATTTAGGGAAACAGCATAATCTCTACCAACAGTTCTAACATGTGCCTTTATATCCAAAGATAAGCCCAGACTTCACCTTATCAAGGAACTTCTCACTGCAACAGACAGATCATTGCAGAAAACCACAACCAATCAAAATATAGTTGGGAGCCTTCGTCCAGTAACCGGTGGAAACAGATGCAGAGATCCACAACTAAGCACTGGACTGAACTCCTAGATTCCAATCATAGGGAGGGAGGAGTGATATTATGAGCAAAGGGGCCAAAACTGTGATGGGGACACCACAGAAACAGCAGACTGGAGCAAGTGGGAGCTCACTGACACTGTTTTGACAGCTGGGGAACCTGCATCAACCTGAACTAGGCCCTCTGAATGTGGGTGACAGTTGTGTGGCATGGACAGTTTGTGGGGCCCATAGCAGTGTAATCAATATTTATCCTTAGTGCTTTTTGGAGCCCATTCCCTATTGGTGGATATTTTGCTCATCCTAGATACATGGTAGAGGACCTTGGTCCTGCCTCAAGTGACGGAACAAACTTTTTTACTCTGTTTGGGAGGTCTTACCTAAGGAGTGGATGGGGATGGAGAGGGGAGAAGGTGGAGAAGACAAGAGGATGGGTTGGGAGAAGAAACTGGGATTGATATGCAAAATAAGATTGTTTTAAAAATACTAAAAAATAATAACAAAAATAGAGTTATGCATACAGCCACAAAACACCTTGCACATCTAAGGCTCTGGAAACATTGTGGAAATGGGAGCAGCAAGATGATAAGATTCAGAGTCACAGAGAAGTTGACACAAAACTGTGTTTTCCTAGTGACATCAGAAGCTATGCCTATAAGGTCAGACCAATGTGACTGCCCAACAATAAGATGAAAAAGGACCTCACCATTAGCCTTGACAAAGTGAATGAGGAGAGCCCAGGAGGCCATAACCCCACACAAAGAACTACATGTTACTAAGGAATACTGAGAGCAGCAGAAATAGTATTAACAGAAGAACATGCTAGTTGTTTAACCAATATCAAATGGTCATTTCGGAAAACACAATATGATTAACAGTATCTAAACTGAGCATATTCTATTTAGGAATATATATTTATATATGCACATGCATATAACAACAAATAATTTTTAAAAGGTCATGAATTTGAATCAGAGCAAGGAATGGATTATGGAAAAGCTTAGAGGGAAACAGAAAAAGGGGAAAATGTAATTCAAGACTATCGCAAACATACAGGGAAAGAAGTCCCCAGTTTTCCAAAAATTGACTCCCATAAGTTAATTTTTGAGATGCTTTACATTTTATCAATGCATCAAATTTCAACTATTCATATGATACTTTCATTTATACTTTTCTGAATAATTTTGAACAAAATCAAGCATATTAACTAATAACACATCTGCTTTTTCATACCATTATTCCTGGTACTTTCTTTTTTTTTGAATTGTCATTTGCCTTATTTTATTAGTGTCATATGAAATTATGGCATGTTATTGACTTCTTTTTGGGGGTTATTTAAATTATTTATTTATTTATTTATTTATTTATTAAAAATTTCCACCTTTTCCCAGCCTCCTTTTTCCCTCCTCCTCCCCATCTCCCCCTGCCTCTCTAGTCCTAAGAGCAGTCAGGGTTCCCTGCCCCATGGGAAGTCCAAGTTCCTCCTGCCTCCATCCAGGTCTATAAAGGTGAGCATCCAAACAAACCAGGCTCCCATAAAGTCAGACCATGCTGTAGAATCAAAACCCAGTGCCATTGTACTTGGTTTCTCAGTCAGTTCTGTTACAGATTAAATGGATACTCCTTTCTTGGAATCCAGTTCTAGAAAAACTGGAATCTGCTTGCATTGGTAATAATTTCCAACCATAGTTAATTATTTATCATTCACTGAATACATTCTGTACTGATTGTTTTTCTGTCATGTATTTGAACATTTCAGAGTTTTTGTTTGTTTGTTTGTTAGCAAGAAAAAAAAGAAGAGAATACTGAAAATGTTTCCTCTGGGACACAGTTTAAAAGATTATTTGTCTGTTTTATTTTTTGACCCCAAAGAGTCACCATGTAAGTAATTCTTATTCTTTATTAGTTTCTGCATATGTTATAAAAAGTATTTTACTTTTTAATGGAATATACAATTAATAACCAGCTTCACTAAATGCAAAAAAATATGCCAAAAAACAAAGAATTCTGGTACTGGCAGGATGGTTTCTGGTTAAGAGAGCTTTCTTTTTATCAGAGGACTAGAGTTCAGGTCAGTTTTCAATATAAGGTAGTTCACAAACACCTAATATTACAGTTCCAAGGGATATGATGCCTCCTTCTCCCTGCCATATGCACTGGCACACACACACACACACACACACACAGAGAGAGAGAGAGAGAGAGAGAGAGAGAGAGAGAGAGAGAGAGAGAGAGAGGGGAGAGAGAGAGAGAGAGAGAGAGAGAGAGAGAGAGAGAGAGAGAGATGCTACCAGCTATCTGGTTTCTAATGACTGGTAATTATTCAGTTTTATGAAGACTATAGCAAAATGGAGACCATAAACTTAAAACTAATAGTCTCAGTGTCAGTGGTTCTAGTTTATGAAAGAATCTATGTTGGTAGCCATGACAGAGGAGTTGTAGTCAGCAATGAAGCTTATGCACTTCATTTTAACAAACAAGAGCTAGACCCTGATCATCTCCAAATACCCCTTGCTTCTGCTGTGCTTCCTTTTGTTTGTTACTGCTGTGTTCCTACCATATTCTGTGTGGTGTGATTACTATGTTAAAGGTTCAAACTATACCTAGCACAATGCTATTAGTTCTTAGAAAAAAAATTCATGCCTTACTGCCCAATTTACTTACAGATCATAGTTAAGACGATTTTATAAGAGAAATAATGATCTATGAATTAATTGTACTTTCTGGATTAGCCTAAAAGATTCAGTTAGTTAAGACAGTTAGTGAAGATGATTTTGGATAATGATTTTGGTTATTTTGCCAATTACTCTAATAAAAGACACAAAAAATGCAAAAACAGGCTAAAAGTTACCTTCTCCTTTGTTAGATGTGAAATTTACAAAAAATGAAGGATAAAAATAAGGAGGTTCCATGCTTTATAGACCCATGAATTCTGCCTGTGGAGCAACAGGCAGATGATTGCAGAAAACAATTATGTCCTACACCATATTTAGGCCTGAGTTCTTTTGTCATGTAGTTTAGAGAATTAATCATAGATCCCAGCATATACCTTGAAGAAGCAAAATAGTGAAAAAACATCAAATGACCCTATTGTGTGTAAAGAAAAATAAATGGTTAGTTAGACCAATTAAATGAAGTTTTTTAGGTATCTGCTACACTGAAGCCACAAACAGCTGCCTGCCAGTACAAAACGAACTGGTTGAATATACTTGGCTTACTTAAAACTTTGTTAGTTAATTAAAAAAGAATCATTGCCTTGGGATGATGATGTAATGGTGGGAAAATTAATATGAAGAAAATTGTTTAACTACTTGTGGGCTTCTAAGAAGAACACGTAATTTATGATCTTAATATGATTTATTCTTACATAAAGATTTTGTTTTTGGAAAATAAGTAACTTGTGGTTGTGAGGTAATCTTTTCTTATGTAGAAAGTTTTATATTAGGAGGCATATGTGGGTAAACAAATATAGCAGATAAAATAAGAACAAAAGATGTAGAAGGAAAAGTATCAGGAAACAAAAAGAAAGAAATCATTAGGGGAAAATAGAAAGAAAACATTAGAAGGCATAGGCGAACAACTGTGTAGAAAAAGTCAAACAAAAGCAACAGGGTAAAAGAACAGAGCAGAGAGAAAACAGAAGGATAACAACCAGCAAAAGGAAATAGAAAATGAAGAATGAAGCTTTGGCCCTCAATTAAGGTTCCTGTGTGTAACTGCACATATGTCCAATTGTTTAACTATCCATATGTCCTCTCCAGCTTTTCTGACCTGGGAAAGCCTGCTGAGGACTGGGTCCCTCAGTGGTGAAACCACAATCAAATAAATAGATAAACTGATTCTGAATGCTATCCATGAGTTGCATTGTGTCAACCTCATTCTTCCTACTGGTCATTGGTTAAACATTGGACAAATGCTACGAATTAGGCACTCCCCTTCCTATAAACAGCGTATGACCGAAAAAAAATAGACCATCTGCACTATCAGAAAAGTGAAGAAAAATGAGTTTCAAACAGTGGTGTGTGGGACTAAATGATGGCCACATCATGCCTCTACTGGGCTATGGCACTGCTCAAAATCCACAGGTAACAAAATAAATAGGGTTAGGGAGGGAAGATCTCGAAAGAAAATCGACCTATGATGTGTTGGAGCCAAACTCTCATTCTTCATCCCTGGTTTTCAGTTTCTGCTAGATGAGGATATTTCATGTTAAGACTGATAATAGCTAGAATGTAGCTTAACAGAGTCTGATTATGCTATTGATGATATACTGTTCTGTGTTTTCCCTATTTTAGTTCATTTGCCAGCTTAGTTCTAAATATGAAAGTCATTAGTCCACATATTGCCTTACAGCTTCCTTGACTTGTTAATAATAAAATTGGGAGTCATTTTTCTGTTTACTTCTACAACTCATGACATCGTTCTTCCTTACTTGCAGTAAAGAAAAACACTAGAAAACAGATGTGTCAAAAGTTACTGGAAATGTGAGGCAGAGAATAATTGGTACAGGAGTGCTTCAGATCTTCAGGGAAGCCCTCAACAACTCTCAGGAAATGGTGAAATTGACATAAGTAGAATTTTCCATGTAATACTGAAAACATTGGGACATTTACATAAGTGTAAAATGTAAAAACTGGGGAGCATTAAACTTATGGAAGCTTCTATGAACTATTTTCTCTTGGGGTGATAAAAATGATACTATGACTTGAAGTATACAAAGTAGAGAATTTAGTAGCCCAGAAGCAAATCAATAGTCTAAAATATTCCTTAGACTGCTCAACAGTGAGATGTTGGACAAATTAACTGAATTTTGTGTCCATTGTCATATCCTTTGAATTATTATGAATATTATGGTAGAACTTAGTTATTTGAAGAAGTCATAGTGCAAGTGGCAGAACAGTATGAAGTGTTCTCCTATTTTGCACCTCAATGAATCCTTCATCACGTTCAGAAAGTCAGCTTTCTCTCCGGAGATGAATGTGTAAATTACCAGCTCTGCATTGCAATTTTAATGAGAAAAAAACTTCTGAAATCATTAAACTGTATGGGCAGTTTTTGCTTTGCCCCTAAGAAGTAAGCTTGCAAGATATTACCCAAATATAAACAAAAGGCAAAAATTTAAAATTCTACCTTAGAAAGGTCTCTGTAAAAATGAATTTGTGCTCTAAGTGATTATAGAAGCAGTAACAACCCTGACATGGTGAGGGTAATTTCACATTTTAAAACATGAATTCATAGATTATAAATTTCCCACCTATTATTTGTTTGGTGACACAGAGTAAAATTTTGAGCTCCATAATTTAAAATATCACAGCCATATAAGTTCAAATCCTCTTATCAGTCTCACTCTTAGTAACATTGTTTTTGTTTTCTATGTTAGAACTACTATGAATATTAACTGTGTCTTGACTGACTCCTACTAGCAGTGAATATGTGTGTCTGATTTCCTTTGAACAAGTAGAACATTCTGTGTGCTACAATAGATGTGAAGGTAATCAGTGCTTGGAGAAATTTTAGGGCATGATTTAAAATACTTTTGTAGATAAATTGCTCATGCATTGTCATATTTCAGGATTAGTGGAATAAAAATTTTATGTCTTTCTTCCATGAATTCTCATAGAAACTCCTTGGAAGAATTCTCTTAGAAACCTATACCATATTAGCCCATGCTCCATCCCAGGAACATTTCCACTCTGCTTATTTTATTTTGTAATTGCTGTGTCAACAATGCAAGGGTGTTCAGAGTGTTCAAGATGGCTCAGTGAACAAAAGTTTTGCAATGAAGTCTGATGACCAGAGTACTCTCCCTAGAATCTATGTGGTAAAATGAAACAATACCTGCAAGTTGTCCTCTGATTCCAACAAGTGCTCTTAGTTCACTCTCCCCACATACTTACAGTCACATACACACACGGATGGGAAGATATATATGTATATATATATATATATATATATATATATATATATATATATATATAGAGAGAGAGAGAGAGAGAGAGAGAGAGAGAGAGAGAGAGAGAGAGA